AAAGGAGGTCATCTTTCCTTCACCCATGCCACAGCATGGCAGACGAAAGGGGCAGAACCAGTTCTTCAAATCTCGCACCCTCACCCTCAGGGCCAGTTGGCTCACACACCATCCAACAGGATCAGCTATGCTGTGGTGCTCAGGTGAGGTGCAGGACCTGCTCTCCTGAGCTCCCCTGTGAGGGGCAGGGCCAATTCTCCCTAATGTTGCAGCCAGTGAGGGGCGGGTCAACTCTGTGCAGTCCTATCCTCTTGGCCTTTGGTGCTAACAGTAGCCACACACATCAGCACAAACCATGGCTGCAGCAAGGTCATAGACATGGCCCTTGGCAGCAGCCCAGGCTTGGACTTCACTATGACCCCTCGTGGCAAACAGGTTACCTGCATCAGCCCACTCCTCGCCACCTTCACCTCTTTGGATCTGCTTCTATCCACAAGACACAAACCATTCTGCCTTGATTATTCATCCATACCCCCACCCTGTGTTTGCTCACAATATTAGAGCCCAACCACCCGTGCTATCTCCTCCCAGCCCAGGGTGGAGAGCCCCAGGCCAGTATGTGAATCTTTGTCTCAATGGCACTGGGGAGGCTCCTGTTGTTTCCCCTCATCAATCCCAAATTCATACCTTTTAAACTTGCTATTTAGGCAATCATCCTATGTAAAACCTTGTCTATATCAAGCTATCATAATATATGCATTTTGTTATTTTTAAAGTCTGTTTCGGATCACCAGAAGTGTTCCCTAAATTTATAAAAGGTCTGATGTTTTGATATGTTTTTGAAGTTTATACACACATATGTTTGTATGTTTTTAAGTGTGTGCATATATACATTTATATCTATATACATATGGACACACATACAGTGCTGGCTAGTCTTTTTTTTTTTTTTCCAAGACAGGGTTTCTCTGTGTAGCTTTGGAGTCTATCCTGACACTCGCTCTGGAGACCAGGCTGGCCTCAAACTCACAGAGATCTGCCTGCCTCTGCCTCCTGAGTGCTGGCTAGTCTTTTATCAACTTGACACACAGACTAGAGTTATCTTAAAGGAGGGAACCTCAATTGAGAAGATGACTTCATAAGATCCGGCTATAAGGTATTTTCTTAATTAGTGGTTGTAAGTGGTTCCATCCCTGGGCTGGTGGTCCTGAGTTCCATAAGAAAGAAGGCTGAACAAGCCAATAAGCAGCACTCCTCCATGGCCTCTGCATCAGCTCCAGCCTCTGGGTTCCTGTCCTGTTGGAATTCCTGTTCTGACTGCCTTTGATGATGAACAACAATATGGAAGTGTAAAGCAAACAAACCCTTTCCTCCCCAACTTGATTTTGGTCATGGTGTTTCATCCCAGCAATGACATTCATATATAGCTTTTTTATATATAGCTGTAATGTTAATTGTTTCAAGCTCTTTTTAGTTGAATATATTTACATTCTTCAAGTAGAAAGACTTTTAGAATGCACAGCTGGTATCCTCCAAAACAGAATTGCTAATGACCCTAACTGTATTGTGACTTTCAGCTTTAAGCAAAGGTCACTAGACATGGCTTAATCGCAAGAAATATCTAATGAAAAAGATAACACTGGTAACCTAAGAAGCACCTTTATATAACAGTATTTTCTACTTTATTTAGAAATATTTTTGTTTGTACTTAAAAGACAAAATTAAATAGGGCATTCTTTTTTACATTGAAACAAAACTTAAAATGTATTTCTGAGAAAAAACTTAAGACAGCTTGATCATACAGATACAATGCTGTCAATCATAATTATTATTATTCTGAAATCTTGTATACTAGGGGAAGCAACTAGATGAGGCCATTGCTCAGCTTTCTACAATATCCTAATCACAACTCTTTAAATCTTTTGCCATCCACAGTTTTGATCCTTTTCTAAAGAATTTAGAGTCATATGCATGGAAATTGACCTATTAATAAGCAGCTATTTTTCCTTGTTAATTGTGCTTTTAATTTTCCTTACAAAACTTTGTAACTGTTTTCTGTTGATATCTTTAGAAATATGAGTTCTAAGAAAGTAATATGAGCAGTGTTCTTTTTAAACCTCTTTAGATTCATTTATTGTGTTCTATGAATATTTTGCTTGCATGTATGTACATGTACCACCTGCATGCCTGGTGCCTGAGGATGACAGAAGAGAATGTCAGATCCCCTGGAACTGGAGTTATGAATGGCAGTGAACTACCATGTGGGTGCTGGGAACTCAACTCAGGTCCTCTTCATGAGTAATAGCTGCTCTTAGCCATGTAGCCATCTTTCCAGGCCCTGGTCAGTATTCTTAGGTTGCCACACCACAGGACATACACAACTGAATTTAAGAATGACTCCAGGTATGGTTAGCCTCAGAGCCACTCCTCTACATCTCTTAGTTATTTGAATTTGTAAAAACAAAAAGGGGGGGTGATAGGAGCACTGACTCTGTTGTGGTGTGTTTGTATACTTTGTGAAGATGTGTTTTCTGTGATTGGTGTAATAAAAATATGAACAGCCAAATGCTACACAGGAGATAGAGGTGGGATTTCCAAGAAGAGAAAGGAAGAGGAAGAGGAATCTAGGCACACAGGAAAAGCCAGGGGAACATGGAGAGGAAATGGAGTGCAAGATGGAAGAGAGGTAACATCACAGTGATAGAATGCAGATTAACAGAAATGGGTTAATTAAAGTTACAAGAGCTAATTAGGAACAAGCCTAAGCTATAGGCCAAGCTTTTATAATTAATAAGAAGTCTCCATGCCATTATTTGGGAGCTGGCTGACAGGACAAAAAAAGACTCATTACATATGGCATCCAACATGGAGGCTTAAATATCCAAACATAGGTCCTGAGAAAGCTAAGAAAAGTTCTGGACAAGAAGTCAGATGTAGATTCCTAGTCCTGCAGTCTGTCAGATGGGCCAAGTAAAGAATGTGGTTTTTTGAAACAGGATACAATAGTGTTAGCTATCAACTTCAGAGAATCTACAATCACTTTGAGATGAATGCCTCAGGAAGATTATCTTGATGTTAATGCTAATTGTTGTGGGCAGACCCATCTGAACTGTGGACCACAGTGTTCTCTGGGCAAGTGCCCCTGAACTTCATACTTGGAGAAATGAGTCTGAGCACTAGCTTGCACTCACTGCTTTCTAATTCTTGACTTTGGATGCATTGTGGCAGCAGCTTCAAATTCCTGACACTTTGACATTTCTACCATAACAAATGCCAAAATAAACCCTTTTTTTCTTCATGAAGTTGCATTTGTCAGAGCAGCAAGAAAAGAAATTCAGGCACAGAGTCTTACTATGTAGTCTTGATTAGCCTGGTATTATAGGCATGAGCTACTATATGATGCTAAATCCTGGGCTAACACAACCTGCTTTTCCCTGTGAAATCAGCCTAACTCAGCTATGGTCCATAGAGCCTCTGAGATCTAACTGGTATTTCTCTATATCCTCCTCCATATTCCTTGGTGTCATGCCAATTCTTTTCTGAGGGGACCATCTTCCAAGTTTCCCCCAGTCTGTAACATAACTCAGGGTCTGTTCACACTACACTAGAATTTGTAGTAGTTAAAAAAAAAATGGGTCTTCCCTCTGACAGCCTGAACTGGGCTGCCAAGTTGATTTACCCCAGGAACTTGGGAAATTCTCTGTGCCCTTTGATTCGGCTCAGAAGAGTTGGAAAACATCCTAGAAGGACCAAGTATAGATCAGGTAATCAACAGGGACCTTAGATCAGATGCCAAAGGTGAGATGGGAAGTCCCCGTTGACTGACACATCGTCCAAGAAGCAAGGATTTTTATCTGCAAATGGAAAATGAGTAGTATGGCATGACCACTGGGAAATAAAAGGAAACATCACTGCTGTTTTTTTTTTTTATTCTAAACCCAGAAACCATATATGATAACTGTCGTTACCTGCAGTTTCTATTTTATTTGATTTCTTGGAAATATTCTCAGATTTACACTTGCAATGTTGAGTATTCTGAACATCTTCTTGCTTTGGTTTTTCCCAAAATTTTATTGGCTGGGTCAAAGAGCTTTTTATAGAGGAAACATGGCAAAGGACATGTACAGAGAAAGCCAATGTTGTGATAACATCAGAAACAGATGCGCTAACAAGTTAAAAGATAGGTTTGATGTGGAGAAGGTGGACAATAGAACCCAAGTCTGGCACAGAGTAGAAAGAGAAGCCAAGGTAGATGCGGAGACCCACCTATGTGCCAGGACTGATGGGTTACTCCCAGCACCACTGTGGATATGATTCAGCTGTCTCTCTTCTATCTTATACCACACTATTTGAGACTCAATGACCTGAAAAAGAAAATCTAATTAGCCTACTGTGAGCCACATGCCCATCCCAAAGAGGGTAAAACTTTGACCTAAGGGGACAAGAAGACTTGCCCCCTAGACCCACAAAGTGACGCAAGTGATTCTACATAAGGCTGTCTAGGGATGGGGTGTGCCACGGTGACAGAGCATTTGTATAGCATATGCAAAGTCTCAGCTTGATTGCTATCGCTGGGTGTCAGAGGACAAATGGTATTTGTCTTTTGCTGCCACAAAAGGTTCAAGGGAGGCTGGGTTCCCAAAAAACAACTGCCTAGAAGGGACAAATACAGACACTCTGCAACTTGGGTGCAACGTAAGTAATTGTTCCATGCATTCCTTACTTATGAAAACTGGTTAAGGGGCACTAGAAAGGGTACCTAGGAGAAAGGGTACCTATGGCCTGAGAAAGAACCATAGGAAGAAGGTTAATTTTAGGATGGAAGTGGAAAAGGCCAATTAGGATTGACTCACAATGAGACTTGAATCCTGTAAACATGCTGGGAATGTCAGAAAGGGAGGCTGAAAGAGTCAGGATGAGGCGGTTGGAGGAGGGAGCTAGTTAAGTCATCTTAAAATGGGTGGGATGAATGGGGCTGTTATAAGCATAAGAGAAAGTCCATCTATTGTACAAGGGCTAAAGATGGTCCCAGATGCTGAAATGACCCTTTGGAATGTCATACCTAGGTCAGGCTCGCTAGTGAATTGGATCTTTTGGCCACCATTCAACTCCTCAAACATCACGATCTGTACAAAGAAGCAAGTTAATCAGCCAGAAGATTCAAGTACTTCTTCTGAAGCAAAATGAAGTTCAAAGAAAGTGAACTAGGAAGCAGGGGACACTGAGAGAATTCACCTCGTTAATACCAGGATGAAGCCAGGAGCTAGGGATATAGAGGGCTTTCTGGGGACCGATACTCCAATATCGTCCTAGGATTTGTCCATTGATGAATATGACACCCTTTCCCCAGTCCTGAAAGAGATAGGGAAGTTTCAGATTCTAGCTTCTAGATGTAAAGACAGAAAACAAACAGACCCCTATCCCAGTGGCACACCAAACCTTAGCATAGATAGGATGGACGGACAATGAGAGACAAATGTGGGAGGTTGCTCTCGTGTCTGTGCCAGTGCCCTCCCTGCCTTGGAGGTGGCTTAGCATCAGGCCTAATTTCTATCTCGTTTTCTCAGGTCTGGCCCAAGCCAGCAGAATGTATGTTCACTTACAACCCAATTATCATCAAAACACATTAGGCTTTTAAAACATAGCTCAAACTGTAGAATAGCAGAAATCGTAGCCGATGTGCCCTGGATGGCATGCCTTGGACGGTAAGCCCGTGCCAATGGTACAGGTTATGTGTGAGGACTAATGGGTCACACTCACTAAACCCCTGCGACAGTGCTTACACCAGCCAGTCTCACTGGCACATGCTGCTCATGCCTCTGTGGCGTCTATTCACTTCTGTTGCCCTATGCTAATGGCCCCCAAAGGGAGCCACCTATGAAATAGGTGTGACTTGCAGGAGCTTGGTTCCTTGCTACAGGACAAGGTTCACATACTGGGTAGCTTTCCTGAAGGTTCTTTGGGGCCGGGGCCTGGGGCACAAGAGCAAGAGAGAAACCACACAAACCTTAACTTTTACGTAGGTGTCCTGGGGAGGATCTCCAACTCTCAAGTGACTGAGGAAAAAGGCAGGGCCCTCAACTTGGCCTGCCACTGATTTCCAGGACTCAGGAAACTTAGGGAGTTTCCTAAGAGGGAATCAAGAGAAGGTATACTTTTTTTCTAATGTACCACCTGTGACCTCTACTATGAACCCTGGCACCCTACTCCCACTGTGGTACCAGCTATGTTCTTGGTATGCATGCTACAATAGGGATTAACCAATGAACAAGGGGACAGTTACTTCTCTGCTCCGAGACAGCTATGAAACTTGGCATCATTTCATTTGGTACTCTGGGTCTTGTTTTTTTGTTTTTTTGTTTTTTTGTTTTTGTTTTTGTTTTTTTCTACCTGAAGACCAAAAGCTTCATCTGGAGACCTGTGAGCAGACATCCAGCTCTTCGTGTTCACCACTTTATACAGTACTTTATCTTATTTTGTTTATCTGCAGTTCAGTGACTGAACTCAGGGCCTCATATGAGCTGGGCAAAATGCTCTACCCCTGAGCTATAACTCCACATTTGCCACCTTTGATCAGCTGAAGTTGAGGCACCTACGTTTGTATGAGTGTATTTTTCATTTCCAGGCTGTGGATTGTAAATTTTCTTAGTGGAGTCTTTTTCAGATAGATGTCTCCAGTTAAACCTGTAGAACAGGAATGGAAGGGGATGTGAAGAAGGAGAGAAGGACAGGGATATACACAGGCTGCAGTCAGGGCTCTCCCCACAAGAAGGTGCTGTCTTGGCCTCATCTGGCTGGAAGGTTTCTATAAACTCCATAGATTTCCCCCTCCCTCTTGGTGGTGCTAAGGATTAAACCACCAAGGCTCAATAGGTCTCAGGCATGCTATGCAAGTATTCTACCAGTAAGCTACCTAAGCCCAATTCCTACACAGATATTATCCTCTGAAGTGTATACTCCTAGATAGGGCCTCACAGTCTACATTAACAGTATAAAATCACAGCAGCTGCTACAGATCTGACTAGCACAGGGCTTCTGGCTAGCCTGAATACTCAGGTTTGTCAAAGCACTTATGTTTTTTTTTAAAAAAAAAAAAAGTGTGGCATGGCTTTGCTCAGGAGTACTGGACCCAAGCAGAAGGACAAACCTAAGTCCTGGGTTCCTGGAAATGAAGACGTGATATCCCTAGAGAGGAACCCTAGACAACGACATCACCATAGCTTTCTCCTGCTGGCACCACTTTCAAAACTGCCACCAACGTGAGTGGCAGTGTGATGGCTCTGGCTTGAGCAACTACAGAACACAAAAGTACCACAGTTTCTGTACAGAGGCGGCTTATAAGCAAAAAAAAAAAAAAAAAAAAAAAAAAAAAAAAGTTTTTTTTCTTCCAAACACAAACCTATTCCCAGCTGCCCTTGACTTGGGGAAGAGCAGTGGCATCTGATGCTACATCACCCCAGCCATCTTCTTGTAGCACCCACCTTTTCTCTCCTTGTTGATATCCTTCCCATAAGTGAGGCGGCCTTGGTTCTCCACCAGTATGCTCAGGCTCTGGGTTTTCTTGGAAGCCTATTCAAAAGAAACCAGAGTAAGCCTCACTTGGCATTGCCCTTAGACCATCTAAGCCTCCCTGGAGCTGGGACAGGAGATGAGCAGGTAGCTGACAAACCACAGGCCTCAGAACCTGTGGGTCTCCAGCTACGGGACAGGCAAGCCCTATACTGCTTCTTTTCCTCTCTCTTCCCAGAAAGAGTCACCTAAACATTTAAACAAGGACTCTCTTGGACCGGTGACCAAGCCAGCATGCTCTGAACAGTGAATATTCAAGCAGGGAGTGTGGTGTTCACTCAAAGAACATTCACCAGTACCTCCAAGATGTAGGTAACCCTCCCTGTGATCGCTGGATTCCTCGAATGGAGCAGACCATAGGCAGAGGAGTGTAAATTATCTGTAATAAGGCCTCACTAATTCTCAGACCCAGGCCTAGCAACTGGAATGTCTTATCCATGAACTGTGTATTATACATTTTTCACAATAAGTAGCTCATTGTGGTAATGATCCAGGACTCCTATGTAGTTGTTGTCCAAAAACACCTGGCAAAGAAAGAAGAGATCACTGTTAGGGCCTCCTAAGGAAAAAAAAAAAAAACAAGGCAAGAAGCAGAATGAACTCCATGTCTCCCAGAACTGCATAGACTTACAAGTTCACTAAGAACAGGTAATAGTTAAAGTAGAACCGTGAGAAGATGTGTGAAGTGCAACCTGGGTTAGAGCTCTCAGTGAAAACTGAATTCTAGATCAACTGTAGGGCAAGGAGGGGGAGATTTTAAAAGGGAAACTAGAGGGGAAGGAAGGTAAGAATGGATAAGCATTATCAAGGAAATGCTAGCAAAGGGGAGGAAAAGGAACTGAACAAGGGACAGCAACTGTTCTGTTTGTTACCCCTCGGGGTAAGGTAACTCTTCGAGGGGCTCAATTCTTCTAGATACTCCCAATTTGAGTTTGGAGAACCTATTGCCACATTCTGACTGATTTCAGAGATGATCTGCATGCAAATCCATCTTTCCCTATCACTTACTCTGCTGGTAGTCTTTTTGTCAACTTGACAAACTACTGTCACCTGAGAAGAGGGAGCATCAAATGAGAAAATGTCTCAGACAGATTGGCCTATAAGCAAGCCTATGGGCAATCTTACTAATTAATGATTGGTATGAGAGAGCTCAAGCCACTGTGGGTGATGCCACCTAGAGCCAGTGGTCCTGGGTTGTATAAGAAAGCAGGCTGAGTGAGCTATAGGCAGCAAGACAATTCTTGCCTCCAGGTTCTTGCCTTGAGATTCCTGTCATGGCTTCCCACCATGATGGACTGTAACCTGCAAGTCAAACTTTCCTCCCTAAAGTTGTTTTGGGTCATAGTGTTTATGACAATAGCATAAAAACAAACTAATGGAACTACTAGATTGATCAAACACTAGATTAAACCACTCAGTACCCTAGTCCGGCAAGACGACATAAACATAATTTGCTTCCTAGATTAATTAATCTAAATCACAATTTTCAAATGCAATTTGGCTAGGAAACTGTAACAATAAAAACTCTTAAGCATCAGAAAACAAAAGCATTCCCAACATAGGGTTACCAGAGACTAATTACAGAAGTTATATATTTTATGGTCATCTACTGAAAGCCAGCTATCTAAGTGTCTTCCTGGAAAACAGGCTGCCTAGTATGAAGAGCACAAAGAAACGATCACAATACACTCCAACAGCAGTCATGGTACTGTGAGCAGACTTCTGTGGAAGACTTGAGAAAGGAAGAACAGGCCACAGCTGGGCTGCTTTGCAAACACGGAGGCAGGCAGCAAGCAAAGAAGTACATGACAGAATGTTCATTTTCAGCAGAAGACTTGTGGCACTGTGAGGAATGGCAAGTAGGAGAGGAAGGTAGAAAGTGATGGAATGGTCTGAGACAGGAAGACCAGCTGTGTATTTTCAAAAGAAGAAGCAAAACACCAGCCGAGACAGCAGTGGCCTACATGTGAAAATAATGGCCAAGTACTGCTGTACCACAGAGGGGCCAGGCGACAATAAGGAACAAATACAGGATAAAAGAAACTTCTGAGCAGAGATTATATGTTGGAAGCCGTGAGTTCACAAACTAATACAAGGCTGACTTAGGAAAGCAATGCATGTCCCCTGGGGAGGAAGTTTGAAAAGCCAATGGAACATATATTAAGTACAGATAAATGTCTATGAAACTGTAAGAAAGATGTCTCTGAAGCAAAAAAAAAAAAAGGAAGGAAGGGAGGAAGGAAGGAAAAAGAAGAGAGAAAGAAGGAAGGAAGGAAGGGAGGAAGGAAGGAAGGAAGGAAGGAAGGAAGGAAGGAAGTGGAGGGAGAGAGGAAGAGGACTGTAGTCACAAAAACACAAAGATAGAAGTATAAAGTCAAATCTGATGGTATAGAGGTATAGAATCTAACAGCAGTATATGGTCAAATCTAATCCCCACACTCAGGAGGCAGAGGCAGATGGATCTCTGTGAGTTTGAGGCCAATGAGGGCTACATTGTTTTAGACTCGATGTGGAAAAAAAAACAAAAACAAAAACAAAAACCAGAAGTGCAGGTTGAGTATTTGTTTATCTGAAATACTTGAAGCAGAAGCATTTCAGATTTGGGAGGTTTACAGAGTTTGGATTTCCACAGACTTTAGAACTTAACTCTATACAATTATACAGAGATATAGATATAGAGATAAAGATATAGACAGACAGACAGGCAGGCAGGCAGACAGACAGACAGACAGATAGATCTTCTAGTACCAGAAGTTGTTATGTAGGCTGCTGGGGATAAAGAGTCATCAACAGACTTACCCATCTGTGAACACTGTCAGATACAATAATGACCAGTGTGACAATGTATGCCCATGGGTGCAATAATGGCATGAATATTATGGTGGTAAACAATTGCTTTCTGATTGGATTATATCCAGCTCCACAGTAGAAAATATACCTGGTACTGTCAATTTGATGAATAGCCTATGGGTGAGGAACACACAGGTCCCAGAGGTAAATTATTATTCTGCTAAATGGACACAGTATCTAATTCCATGGTTGATTACTTATAGAGGAGAGTAGCTTTCAGTCCTCATCAAAGAAGTTTCTTCATGCAGTGGGCAGTGGTTAAGCAGAAACTCACTAACCAAAGTGCAGAGAACAAGTATTTGTGGAGGGCACAGCCACAAATGGGACCTCTATCACTCCCCATCCCAAAAGCTCAGGGATCATCTTGCAAGAGGGGATGATAAGATTATAAGGGCCAGACTGGCAGGGGAGCGGGGACCAGACCAAAACGCTGTCTTCTGGACATGCCAGAACTGCTGCACTCGTGAACTCAAAACAGTTGTGGCTGCCTACATAATACCTAAAGGAGACCAAGCCAGTCAGTATTCTAATGGGAGAAGCTCAGTAACCCCAATGGTAATTGCGGAGCTATTGACAGTTGCTAGCTTCTGGGAAAGGGAAAGTCACTTTTCTTTAAAGGGTGTGACCCTAGTGGATCAACCACACTCCCAGTGGACTCTCCCATACTCACGGGCATCACAAATTAGACTCTGTGGGTTTTTTAAAAGAATGAGGAAGAGGGAGGTGATGAGGAGGATGAGGATGAGGAAGACACAGACAAGGAGAAGGGGGAGAAGAAGAGGAGAAGATAGAGAAAAACAAAGACACAAAATTGGGAGGAGCAAGGTGTGGATCTGGGAAGAGTTAGTGGGAGGAGCTGGGTAAATATCAAATACACTATGTGAAATTTTCAAAGAATTGACAAAATATTCTATTTTTAAAAAGTAAAGAAACCCTCTGAAATTTCTCTCTCTCTCTCTCTCTCTCTCTCTCTCTCTCTCTCTCGTGTGTGTGTGTGTGTGTGTGTGTGTGTGTGTGTGTGTGTGTGTGTGTGTGTGTGTGTTCATATGTACTGCTGTGTGCACATGCCCATGCATGTGCCTGTGGAGGCAGGAAGTTAACTTTGGGTATCAATCACTCCTACCTTACTTTTTAAGGCAGGCTTTCTTCGTTGAAACTGGATCTAGCTGTTTCAACTAGGTTGACTGGCTGGCCATTGAGCTCCTAGGATCTTCCTGTCTCCACTCCCCTGCACTGGTATGATAGACCGTGGAACCATGCCTGACTTTCTGGATAGTTGCTGGGAATCTGAGCTTAGGTTCTCTTATTTGTGCAGCAAACATTTTACTCTCTGAATCATCTTCCCAGTCTCATCTGGAATTGTTTGTGCATCACATTTTCACTGAGCATTTCAGACTGTGGACTAGGAATGCCCAACCTGAAGCCTTGGGAAAAGGTTGTGTAGAAAAGATGATGAGCAGGGATCTTTCAGAATACTTGGAACGGCTCTTGGAGTAGGCTCTTCAGCATCTGCACTGTGACTTCCTGGCTGCACGTGCTGTGAAAGGCTTTTTAGGATTCCTGAGGATTTTCTACTTGGAACACATCTCAGCTAGGTGCTTTAACACTTAAATGACAAGAGACAACTTCTCGTATGCTATATAAATATTAGGGATTAATAGGTGATAAGTATAGGAACTACTGAAGCACCTCCTGGATTTAAGAACACTACCAGTGCCTGCAAAAGTCAGGAGTACATGCCTAAGCATGTCCATGTATAAAAGATTTCACTAAAAGGACAGACAATGAGCAACAGGGATAAAAGTGCTACATATTGTTTCCTACCTGCCCTCGGTCTTGAATATGACCCCTTGAAAAGAGGCGGCCTCCACTGAAGATGGTAGTCTCATAAAGTGTGTACCCAAAGGACTGGCCATTCCGTTGGTTCACAGGTAGCTGCTCCATGGAGATTGGCTTGGCAGACTTGGTTGGCTAAGACAGAAACAGAAGTGAAAACCATGTTGAAAGGTCAGGCTAGAGACAAGAATTTCAGAAGTTGCCACTCATAGCCTACTTCTCCAGGGGGATGACCTCAACACCCTTGCAAACAGGAGTACTGAAAAGAATACACAATGATAATCATGCTTATGCATAGCATATAAACTATTTTTTGGTCTCTCAACCAATCACACATTTCACTGTACATACCAGCCAGTAAGTTATTCTTATAATTTAGTTGAACACCTGAAATCAAGAAAAGCACAGGCATTGTGGCATATGCATGTAATCCCAGAAGTTGGGCAGCAGAAACAGGGGATTCTTGGGGCAAGTCACTAGAAAGACTAGCCAGAACTGATGAGTTCTAAGTTCAGTGAAGAGGCTCTGCCTCAAAACATTAATTAATTAATTAATTAATTAATTAATTAAAGTCAGCCTGGTCTACAGAGGTAGTTCCAGGACAGCCAGAGCTACACAAAGAAAACTGTGTCTTGAAAAACAAAATGAATAATAAATACATTTAATAAAAAATTTTAAAAAATAAAAATTAGAGAAGTACAAAATGATCAAGAAAACCACATGACATCAACTTTGGGCCTCCACATGCATTCCCACATATGTGCAAACACACACATACAGACACACATGTACATATATATGCATGATATATATATATATATATATGTATGATATATATATATGTATGATATGGCCTAGATCCTCCTGGAGAGCAAAACAACAAAAATGCTAACAGCTCTGGGTGTCCTGTCAAGAAGACACAAATGCCAAGAAGATGTCCTGAGGGACTACAACAGGCCAATGAGAGCATCACAGAGACTGATGGCATACAAACAAGCTAGGTCTTACACATTTATAATCATAGAAAGAACCACAGCAGCAAAGCAACCCACTGTACCTTTGAAAGACACATGAATTTATTTTTCTTATTAAAGAAAATACTTGAACCCGCCCCACATTTTCTGTACAAACTTAAACTTAAGGGTAAAAGGCTGATGAAGGAAATTGTTCTGTAGAACTCAAGTTAATACATACAAAGGAATTATAGAATTAAAGCATTTTTATGAAGCAGTTTATGAAATATTGGATTACTTTATCAACATGGCTTATTTTATTTCACCTGTACATGTCTTCCATGCCCACCCTTTATAGGACTATTTTATTATTTTACATGTATGTTTTGCCTCCATGTGCACTATGTACATGCAGTCTGCACAGCAACCAGAAGAGGGTGCTGGATCCCCTGAAACTGGAGTCACAAATGTGGTCCATTGGGTCCTATGGAAGAATAATTAGTGCTCTTAACCACTGAGCCATCTCTCTATCCTTACAGGATTATTTTTAAATGCCACAGAAATTCAATATCTATCTAATAAAGGGGGAAGAGGGCTTTTTAAAAAAGAAGTCATCACTACAATAACATAATCACAATAAAAGCAGTGACAGTTATAATTCCCTAAAACAAGAGATTTCCTGGGAATTTTTTTTGCAACTGAGTTTCTGTACTATACTGTAAATATTCCCAGCATGGTTAATTGCACTGCAATAAGGTCAATTGCTGCTAAAACCGTTGGGCAGGCACCTGATGAAGAAAGCTGAAAATGTGTTGACTAGCAGCACCTAAACCCACTGACCAGCAATGAAACCATCTGCACTGTGCTGGGGATATGATGCAAAAGGCACAACAGTACTGCCTACGAATGAAACTCACAAGCAGAGATACACAAAAGAAAAATGCTGGCAGGGTAGTGTGTACACATGTAATCCAAGTGCTTAGGAGGCTGAAGGAAAACCAGGACTATGAGGCCAGCCTACCCTACATAGTAAGACCCTGTCTCAAAAACATAAGGAAATAAAAATAGGAAATATGGGGCTTAGTTGATAGAGGGTACCATGTCTGGTACCCACCACCATGTAAACCCAACATGCTGTCACAAATTTGTATTCAGCCCCTTCTGTGATGCCTAGCTTCTGTTGGGACACTGCCCCACTCAGAGCTTTCTTGTGCAATCCTAACAGCAGTTCTCCAAACATGAATCTCTCCCAGTCTTTATAAGTGGCTCCCAGCGTGCCTCAGCTTCCCTGCCTCTCTAAATCACCCTGCTGCCATGTCATCTGATCCCACTCAGCCTTTCAGTCACAATACCACCCTGACTGGAGTGTCCATGGAATCCCATGACTTCCCAGCACATGGTCTGTATCTTTATAGCGTAGATACTAAAGCTCAGCTCCTCCACCCATGGCCCATAACCCTCCAGAACTAACACCCTGACTAACCTAGTTTATGTTTTATACTTTAACTTAACAATAAGTTTAGGGAAAGCATCCCTCTATGAAAACACAAGATTAAAAGTCATTGCCCTAGGTCTAGTCAATGTAGTTCCATTCTAACTCCTTAAGAAAGTAGGGGATAGGGCTAGAGAGATGGCTGGGTAGGTGAGATCTCTTGCAAAGGACTTGGAGTCAGTTCCCAGTATCCATATAGTTCTCACAATAGTTTCTTTCTCTAGTTTCAGGGAATTTGATGCCCTCTTCTGGCCTCCACAGATACACATGTGGTCCATTTACGTGCATGAAGGCAAAACACTCATACATTAAAAGAATCGAAGAAGAAGAAGAAGAAGAAGAAGAAGAAGAAGAAGAAGAAGAAGAAGAAGAAGAAGAAGAAGAAGGAATGTAGGGAGATATTGTAGCCCCGCCTCATAGGAGCTGTTACAGGTGTGCTTGGCTATGCCCGTGAGGGCGTGGTTAGGGGAGGTTCATGATGACGCGGGGAATTCTTAAGGAGAGGACAGATGTGGAAGTGCTCTCTTTTTTCGGGGGGGGGGCTCTCTAGCCTGCTGCCTGAGGGCATTCTCTCCTGCTTGTGTTTGGCTGGTGTTTATCTAAATAAAGACATCCTTAAATCAATATCTGGCGCCCAATTACACTATTAAGTCTTAATCCTCTTTTAGACTAAAAGGGGAATTGTAGGGAGACATTGTAGCCCCGCCTCCTAGGAGCTGATACAGGTGTGTTTGGCTATGCCCATGAGGGCTTGGTCAGGGGAGGTTCATGATGATGCGTGGGGAATTCTTAAGGAGAGGACAGAAGCGCTCTCTTTTTCTGGGCTCTCTAGCCTGCTGCCTGAGGGCACTCTCTCCTGCTTGTGTTTGGCTGGTGTTTATCTAAATAAAGACATCCTTAAATCAATAAAGGAAGAAGAGCCTTCATCCAGTAGCTGTTCAAAGCAGAAACAGGCACCCACAACTAAGCACTGAACCATACTCCTGGAATCCAGTTGTGGAGAGGAAGGAGGGATGAGCAAAGGAGCCAAGACGGTGCTGCAGAAAACTGCAGAAAACAGTTGACCTGACCTAGTGAGAGCATGGAGATCCTAGTCATAAAGCTAGGGAAACAGCATTGGACCAAACCAAGCCCTCTGAATGTGGGAGCCAGCTAGGAGGCCAGGACAGTCTATGGGACCTCTAACAGTGGAGCCAGTCTTTAACCCTAGAGCACAAATGGACTTTGGGAGTCCATTCCATATGGAGGGATACTATTGAAGCCCAGATACAGCAAGGAGGGCCTAGGCCCTCCCCCAAACAATATGACAGACTTCGGAGGTCCCTGGTGGAGGGCCTCACTATCCCTGAGGATGAGTTGGGGGATGGGTTGGGGGGTTGGTAGGGAATCTGGGAGGATGGAAGGGGGAGGGAATGGGGGGATGGGTATGTAAATATGAGTAGTAATTAAAGAATTTAAATGGAAAAAAGAAGGAAGAAAGGAATACAGACAGACAGAAAGGGATGGATGAAAGGAGGAAGGGAAGGAAAGAGGGTGGGATTTCAAAGCTGGATCATGAAACAATTTCTTCACATGTAAATGTCTAATCTGAGTTCTTATAATAGGATTCCTATTCTGAACTGTAAAACTTGAGACGGCACTAACACTTCCAAGGATTACTTTGGTTCCTTGGCCACCTACTCTTTAGTCTTTGAGCTATCCCTTTACCTCCTATCTCTTTTTTCACAAAGTGATACCATGTGTCAATGTCCAAGAAACACTCACCCGGTCCAGAAGGGGCAGGACTTCCCACAGGGTCATGAAATATATGACTGTCAATGATGAATAGGCAGTCCCCAGTGCCAATTGTGGTTGAATGAATGTGGAAGCTTCTGCAATGAAAAGCACATGGCTGGCCATCCTAGGACCTACCCCAACACCATTCAAAGACATAAGGTACCCTGCTGTACCACAGCCTCTACAAATGAATGTACCCAGTCACGCAGTAAGGCAGGTACTAATGAGTAAGGGTCCTCATGTATCATTAGACATCCAAAGGAGGACCCTTATTGTCCTAGAAAAGAGGAGCATGTTGACTCCAGCTGGTAGACCAGAAATCTCAACTTAACTGCTCAATAGAATCTTCTAAAGCCCAGCTACAAACATGCTTGCTCTCAGGTTCTGCCCTTTCTTCCCACCTCAACCCAAACATACTTACTGAATAGCTCAGAAGAAGGGGAGCTGAGACCTCTAGCTTTTAGAAGTTTTAGATGAGTACGACCACCACCAAGATCAAGCAACATGGTCCTATGCTGAGTACATGAGAACAGACCCTGTATCTAATGGATTTCCAGTGCCAATAATAAACTGGATCAAACTGGGTTTCTCCCCAAAAGGTCTTCACACATTCCCCACCCCTGCTTCTTGCAGAGCAGATCCCACTGGAGAAATAAATCTAAGTCACCATTCAGACTGAAGTTGCTACTAGGTACCTGTAATAGAATGAAAAAACTCTTGAAACACCCGATACTCGGGTGTGTATTGGCCAGCCTCTGTCAGCAGTGCACAGTAGTCTAAAGAACACAGAGAAATGTATTATTTCCCCCCAAGAAAACCTTAGTTTAGCTTCTTTCCTTATGAAGAGAAAAACAAAACAAACAAATAAAACCTTCGCTCTGAGCAAAATGATCCATAATATAGCAACCTGGGGTGAAGTGGGGGGGAGAATTACATCTACTGAGTTCATGGGTATGGCCGTGTTAGCAGGAGGCAAACTACCCTCAATTAAATGTTTTCCTTTATAAGAGTTTCTGTGGTCATGGTGTCTCTTCACAGAAATAGAAACCCTAACTAAGATAGAGGCTAAAAAAGATATATTTATGGATACTCTGGTACTCTTAGGAGACCAAAGCAACAGATAAAGCATGGGCCTATCCAACAGATAAGCAGGGCTAAGCTACTAATCTAGCAGCTCACAAAGTCCCAGAAAGCCAAGATCCCAATATCTAGTGTAGTCACAAACAAATACTAAAGCTTCACTCCCCAACACACACAAACTCAAAACAGATAAAGAGTTCCATAGAGTTCCTTTGGGGGCCTAACCTAGTATTTCCCAGACTCAACAAATGAGCAACCTAGATTAGAGATAATTCTGTGGCTGAGTACTTGCCATAGCTGGTTACGACGGGTTGATAACCATGTGAAGACTGAGCTCCACCTATGAAGCCAAAGTTGGTGCCACCATGGAACATGTAGAAGTTGAAGGAAAATCCGAGGAGGAACATCTCACGCACGTCTTTCATCAGCACTGCAGGAAGGTTGGAAGGTAGGAAGGAAGGCAGGAGCAGGGGTGGAATTGGGATTTAAGAATTCACAGCTTGTAGACTATGTTCAAACTACCTAGGTCTGAAATCTTCAAGATCTGCTAGAGCTCATGCCCAGAAAAATATGTTAGATGATCTAGGAATGGTGGAAGTAGTTGGAAGTGTTTGTTGTCATGATCCAAAATCACTTATTACTTCTTTCTCTAGGCTTCATATTTGGGTGAATCTTTCTTCCTAGGATGCAAACTGTATAACAAATATTGTTCATAACTTTTTAGGGGCATACCTATGTCCAGCTCACTATTTCTAAACTATTTATCAACTTCATAGTGACTAATCTGAAGTTATGACATCAACTCCATATAAATGGCCATCATCCATTCTCTAGAGAGAGAGTAAGAGAATGATGAGTTAAAATCAGCTGAGTGGGGTTATATAACTTCCTCCTTCTACACCCAGCACACCTTCACCTTCATTGTATTTCCATCTCAGAGACTAACTCATTCTCATGACTTTCATAGCCTTGGTGGAGTGTATTTATAATGAAAACTACAGAAACTTAAGTTCCTGTTGCAATGACCCCCAGAGGTGCTCACACTCTATAGCCACTCCATCTGAGCAGATGTCTAGAAGGTATCTGCTTAGCTAGGTTGATGTTTATATATACAACATCTGGGAGCCTTCCTTGTCCCTAAACCTTAAGTACACTAACCAGCAAGAAAAAAAAAAAAAAAACAGACCAGTGCCACTGGTGTCACATGCTTCCCTGAAAAAGTCATAAAGAAAACTTACTCTGTGGATCTCCAAAGTTGCGGAGAGCCCCCCACGTGTCAAAAGTCTTTGTTGTATATACCATCATCAGTATAGGGCTTTTACCCTGAAGGAAAAAAGAAAAAAAAGTCAATTTAGGAAGCTCTTCCTCAATTCTGAAGCCCTGAACTGCCTGCAAGGGAACTGTGAAGCCCAGTGCTTCATGCCCTTTAGCTGAAAGCACCCTGCCATATCCCAGGAGTTCTGAGTTCTACTCTCCCATTTGCACGTGCTCTTTCTAGCCATGTGGTCTCCTCATGTGATTTCACCTTTACCAAGTTTTTTGGGGGGTAGGGGGGATGAACTGCCATTTCAATATTACCCTTTTAAGACATCCTAAAAGCAGAATTTGGAAATTTCTGAAAACATAATGTTTTCATTCACCTAGGTGACCAGAGTAAATGTCTAGTAAGAAACACCAGACATAGGAAAAGGGTTTAAAATGTTTGATTATTTGGGGGCTGCATTAGTGAAGGGTTATGACAAGTGCTAGGCTTTCAACTAACAGCAAAAAGCAATGCCCTAGAAACCAGAATGAACAGGAGTTAGGACTACAGCACTCAAACACTATGACCTATGGACCAAGTGTTCTGGATTTATACAATTGGAATCTAAAACCACTAGTAATAGATAGTTAAAGACTCTGCAGATTCAGATTTCAACTAAACCAATTACTATTAAGATTTCCCTCAATACGTAAGCCAAGAAGTCCAGGGAAGGCAAGAAGCAAAGTGGCTGTCTGAAAGGCCTTTACTTGAATGGATTTGAGATCTTCATATGTTTGTTTCTTTATATTCTTCATGTGGACAGTGGCCAGCACTGTGGGTAGAAAGAACACACATGAGATCCTGCTGCGACCACACAGCACAGGGGCACAAGACTCTCCCAAAGCCAGGCTGCAGAGTCTGGGCCACATCTCTTGGACATATGCCTCCCAGCTTCTCACTTCAATACTTCCATAGTCAGAGCTAGCAATAAAGAAATGATGCTATACTTATAGCCACATAAGCACATGCAAAGGTATTTCGCACAAGGCCCTTCACTTAGAACTTATAGTGATGATCTTGAAAGTTAAGAAGGTGGTTAAAATATGCCACATGACACAAGTTAAAACATGAGCAGCAAATGAAGAAATTGAGACTCCAAAACTTGACATTTTTGGTTGTGGGGGTCAAACCCAGGATCTCCTTCATGCTTAACTTCTAGTTCAGAACACTGTTCTAACTTTCCAGCCACAACAGAGAAAGGCCACCAAAAAGACCAGGGACAATAGCATTGGGAGAGAATGGAGATGACAAAATTGCTTAGAGGAAAGAATTTCAGAAACTGCTTTTCTCCATCTTGCATTCATTTTTTTCTTCTTTGCAAAGTTGACCCCATGGGCACATACTAAGCAAATGTTCAACCCCTGAGAATTATCCCCCTTCCACCCCACCCCCAATCCTGCTTTTGTTCTCTGGACTTATGTGTTCAGAGAATTACCAGGGCTGGGCCCATGACAATAATACTACTCTGAAACTCCTCCATTCTCTGTTGTTCAGTCAGTTGCCAGAGCTGGAGGCAACTTTTACTTTTACTTATTGGACCCTGTGGCACTGAAAGTATGAAAGGGTGGAGTAATGCTCTGGTCATAACAGCCGCTATGCAGCAAGGTTGAATCCTACTTCCTAACTCAGTTTTGACCACAAGTCTTTACCACCAGGAAATGGAAGGATGAAACATAGAAGGACCTGTGCTTTTTCAATGTGAGCATTGTAGAAATAAATGCAACCAATACCATACCATTTTTCAAGTGGCCCTTTCTCACATTCAGACCATCATCTGCAGTCATGAGCAGCTCACTGATCCCTCTTGACACTAAAGCCTAAGGAGAAATTCAGTAAGAGAAATGAATTTCCCCTAGTCTCATGAGATTGCTTCTTCCTAGGGGTGGAAGAAAAAAAAAACTATGACAATAGAAATACCACAGTGAAGTTGAGACATGGAGAGGAAGGCTTGTCTTCTCCAGGCAATCACTTTTAAGTTAAAACAAAAATGTGAGCCCTGCCTCGGTCACAGTCCTCAACAGCAGTTCAAATTCTACACCTCACACAAAAGGCAGAGGGGTTGCTGTATCACCCAACATGGTGATTTCTCCAAAGGACCTCCAAGGGTTTCTCCAAACCAAAGAGCAGGAAAATGAATGTTTCTGTTCATGCTGTCACCAAATCACCATACCTCATGAACCACAGGATATACTTTCTTCAGTGGTTTCTTCAGTCAGTGGGAAGAGCAGGTGAATTGTGTCTTAATCTACCCATGGTGGCACTTTCACCTGCATGAACCTTAACTGTTCCTAGTTTGACTATAAACACTCCAGGGATACTCTCAATCAAGAAAGAGAAGAGATGAAGGGATTTATTTAATTGAGGGGCAAAATACTGAGATGGTGGCTACAGATTCTAAGACAAGTCAACTGTGTGTGCTGTTTGATCTTTTGAACAAAAATATCTTGAAAGTGAAAAGATTCTTGGAATTCACCCCTGAGTCCTTTGTTGGTATCAGACGATGGTTTGTTTCTATAAGACAGTTTCAAAAACTAAGGAAGGCAGAAAAGTCATTCAAGTAAGAGGAACCAGAATGTCACTTGTGACTTTGTGCCACTGTACTCTGATTCCCATAGGTCTGATGAAGATTCAGTGTTTCATCCCATTCCAGTGAGCAATGTGGCTTATTGGTGGGTGATCATATAGACATACCAGAAGGCTTGAGAATGAAAGGTGGCTACAATATCAGCGCACACAGACAGAAACAGATTCTACTTCTGTAGACAACTTTTATTCCCACTGACCTTTCTATCACAACTACACAGCTGAACAAAATCTTTCCTAAAGACTTAGTTGGAGAACCTAGACAGAGACAGAATGCAAGGAGCTGAGGTCCCAGTAAGAAGGCAGTGGCTCATCCTGGAAAAAATGGGATAGTAAAAAATATTTAATAAAGAAAACACTAGTGCCTAGAGATGGGTAGGTGTGTAATAGCACTTGCTGACAAGCCTGATGACTTGAATTCAATTCCTGAGACCTATGTGGTGGAAGAAGAGAAGTGACTCCTTCAAGTTGTCCTCTGATTGCCACATACATGTACATGGCAGAACATATACCTGACACACAGACACAAAAGTATAAATAAACATTACATTTTTAAAGTTTAAAATCTTTTGTAATTTATTTTTAAAAACTGGATAAATACATCTGTTGGTTGAGTGCTCCTGTATCACCTACACTGCCTTCGGTTGCATCAGCAACACATAGACTGGATGCGGTGATACTCACCTATAATCCTAGCACTTGGGAGGTGGAGGCAAGAGAGCATCTTGAGAGCAGGAGGAAAAGGGACCACAGAACAGGAAGTGGGACAAGTATAAGATGACAGCATAATAGATCTAGGCCAAATGTATTAGCAGTGAGTGTGAACATGCTAATTCCTCATTCACAAAGGTCCTTGGTGGTGGTGGTGGTGGTGGTGGTGGTGGTGGTGGTGGTGGTGGTGGTGTTTGTAATTGCCATTGTTCACTATCATCCTGACAGGATCTGGAATCACCTGAGGGATGAGCCTTTGAGCCTGTGGAGGGTTATCTCAATTACATTAACTGAAGTAGGAAGTCCATCTGGATTGTGAGCAGGATCATTCCCTGGGCTGGGGATCCTGGACTGTGTAAAACACAGAAAGAAAGCTAAGCACTAGCATGAAAGCATCAGTCTTTCTCTGCTTTCAGGCAGTGGATGTGATGCAAGCCAATCTTCCAAGCCCCAGCTGTTTTCACTTCCCTGGATTGATGGACTGGACCTTGAACCATGAGCTACAATAAGTCCTTTCTCCATTAAATTGCTTTTGTTGGAATATTTTATCACAGCAAGAGAAAAAGAAACTAAGAGTGGTGTTTTGAGACAGGGCCTCATGTCACCCAGGCTGACCTCAAACTCACTATACAGCTGAGGGTGATCTTGAACTGTTGACCCTCTGACCTTCACCACTCCCAACTCAATAACAAATCTGGCTGTGTACATTGTATGATACTCATAAGTATCCTAAGTAGATGGATACATCTGAAAGTAAAAGAATGGAAAAGCACATGTTAAATGTCAACCAAATAGATATTCTATGACTATCTATGAGATAGTCATAGAAAGTAAACCTGTCCTAGTGTGGATCTCTCGTATTAGAACCATGTGTGTTATTTCCAGGCCCGTAACTAGAATATAACCAAAAACCAAAAATAAAACTGAACCCTATTCGTCCTCATACCTCACAGTTCCAGGCAAGCTACAGGTATTCCGGATATGTTTGCTATTCGACATAACAAACTACAAGAAGCAGAGCAAGATTAAAACAGCACTTACCTTTTGTACATATGCCATATATTTTTTATCCATATAGTAGGACCCATACTCGTTCTCAATTTGCACGGCAATGATAGGCCCTCCTTTTTTATACTGATGGTTAAGGAGATAAGAATGTAAGAGTGAGATACTGGTGGTAAAAGACTGGATTTTCTAAATACTGGGCACACATGTAAAAACAGCACACCCAACCCCAGACTGAACCACATTTGCTGGTCGTTTCTCTTACTCAACATCAGTGGCTCTATGTGAGAAGTCAAATGCTTCCAAAATAGTTCAGGACAAAACATTTCCTGAACGACTACCATTTCCCCATAGTTTGATGTGTTAACCGTGAGGTCTCAAACTTCCAGAGACACCCTTCCCCCTTCTCATCTTCATTTGAAATGTCTTAAGACCCTATGTTAAAATTAACTTGTGGGTACTACCAGCCCATCTAGATACCGCCATCTTGCCGTCTTGTCCTTTACAGCCAAACTTATAAAATATTTCCTCAAAGTTCCTTCAGAAATGTGTAGGATAACCACAAGGCGCCTCACCTGGCATGTAGGGGGAAACACTATAAGGAATTCAACTCCATGCCAATGATGTAGTTTTAGCAATGTGGGAGCATCCAGGACTGTGTAACGAATACTATGACTGAAGTGTTTGCGCACCCAACCCTGACCAGAATGACTGAGGAGAAACTTTAGACAGAGTTGAAACAGGAAGATATTGAGCAAGCAGCAAACACTTCGTCCCTAAGTTGTTTGGCAGGGAAGTAAAAAGGACACAAAGACTAAAGGTGTGTCTTAACTTTCTAAAGTGTACGTCCCTGGCTTCAAACATGGAAAGACTTTCAAAACCAGCTTCTTCCCTTTCCCCTTTTCTCTCCTTATCTCTGCAATGAAGAGTAGAGCAGAAAAGAAGAACGATCCAGAAGCTGTCAGTACCTGGAATGATCTGAGGCAGAAGAGCTGGAATACAATAAATTTGATTGAAACGTTCTAGAGAGGAACACTCAGCAGTAAGGAAGTACTGACTCATGAGAATACAGGAGAAAATTTCTGAGACTTCCCAAGAGCACCAGGCCCTGGATGATGAAAAACTCACTTAGCAGTTTGCAGGTCGTAGTTGCAAGGCTGCAGTATCCTAAATTAGGAAGGGTGAATGCACTTGGCTAGCAATGATATTTTTAAAAGTCCCAGGTTCTGTTTTTCTGTTCTGGAGACAAGTTCTCACTATGTATCCCTGGCTGGCCTGGAATTCGTTATGTAGAAAGTTTTTTTCTTGAACTCATACAGTTCTCTGCCTGTCTCTATCCCCTAGGCATTAAAATTAAAGATGAACACCACCATACCCGGCTTGATTTTTATTTGTTGAGGCGAGTCTCTTGTATCAAAAACTGGTCTTAAACTCCTCAAGCCCAGGAAGATGATCTTGAACTTTGGCCCTGCTACCTCTATCCCCTAACTTCTGGGATTACAAGCTTGGAACACCACACTGGTTTATGAGATGCTGAGGACTGAACCCAGAGCTTTTGTGGAAGGCAAGTACTCTACCAACTGAGCTACTATCCTAATCTGAGGTTCTAGTTGTATACTGTCCATATATTAGCAACCATCTGCTTGTAGTTATTGGTACCATGAGGGAGAAGAGTGTGCCCTGGAACTGAAGTTTTAATTGTACTTTGTTTACATTAAGTAGCCATATATGATTATGGTCACCAGGTCTCTGAAAAGGGCCATTTCACCTATCTCTAAAATGTGCACCGGCTTGTCACTTATGAGTTTTAATATCTTCCTTGAGTAATTATAGTTAGTCTATTCCCAATAAGTTCAACCGTGTGAAGCATTCATCTAGAATATGCAAATGTTGGCATTGCCGCCATTTAATAGATACTAATTTAAAATGATTACTGTGAGGATAAAATAAGTTGGGTAAGTACTGATATCTCATTGACATTGTGGTGTTTGAATAAAAATGGCCCCCATGGAGGGCCTAGGCCCTGCCCCAAATGACCTGACAGATTTTAATGATCCCTCGTGGAAGGCCTCACCCTCCCTTGGGAGTGGATGGGAGACGGGATGGGGGATTGTTAGGGGGTATGGAAGGATGGGAAGGAGAGGGAACTGGAATTGATATGTAAAATACAATTATTTTACATATCAATATATCCCCATATATATATATATATATATCTCCCTGTAAACCTATTACGGAGCAGTAATACCTAGGTAGTATTAGGAGATGTGGCCTTGTTGGAGTAGGTGTGGCTTTGTTGGAGGATGTGTGTCACTAGGAGAGTGGACCTTGAGGTCTCAGAAGCTCAAGCCTGGCCAGTATGTCACTGTCACTTCCTGATGCCTGCAGATCAAGATGTGAAACTCTCAGCTATTTCTCTAGTACCATGTCTGCCTGCATGCTGCCATACTTCCTGCTGTGATGATAATGGACTAAACTGCTGAACTGTAAACCAGCCCTAATTAAATGTTTTCCTTTCTAAGAGGTGTTGTGATCATGTTATCTCTTCACAGCAATGGAAACCCTAACTAAAACAGAAGTAATTAAATATGTATTGTTCTCTAATCATTTTCTATATAGTTTAGATGGTCTTCAACCTAATGTGCAGTTCTATATCAACTAAAGCCAACATAAGTTGAAAATATTGTTTGGAGGGCTGGAGAGATGGATCAGAGGTTAAGAGTGCTGGCTACTATTCCTGGGGATCTGGGTTTGATTCCAGTGCCTACACTGGGGCTCACAACTATCTGTAACACAGTCCCAAAGGATCAGATGGCCTCTTCTGGCTTCCTTGGGCAATATACACGTGTGGTGCACAGACATACATCCAGGCAAACATTCACACACATGAAAATAAATAAAACCTTTTTTAAAAATATAAAAAAATATATCGTTTGGTCCAAAAGGCACTAAACACTGAGGATGACCGCTGAGTGACTCAATTCACTAGAGTACACATTATTTTCTTCGGGAGAGTGTAGCTGACTAGGAGCTGTGAGCCCATTACCACTGCCTAGTGTTAGAAGAAAGCATTACACCACTAATTGTTAGATCAGGAAAAGATACAAGATCCAAATTCAAAAGTCAAACTCAGGGTGGCAAGGAGAAGCTGGAGAGATGGCTCAGTGGTTAAGAACACTTGCTGCTGGCCTGAGCTAGTGAGAGATCACTGACTCAAGTCTGACAAATGGGGGGAACCTACATAAGACCAAACTAGACTCCCCTAATACAGGTGACAATGGTGTGACTGGGACAATATATGAGGCCACTGGCAGTGGCTCCAAGATCTAACTCAAATGCAAAAAATGACTTAGTAGGGCCCATTCTATATGGAGAGATAACCTTGCTCAGCCTAGACACGGGGTGTGGGGGTGAAGAGGTGCCTTGGTCCTGCCTCAACTAGATGATGGGACAGACTTAGTAGACTTCCTGTGGGAGGCCTAACCTTCTCCATGGAACAGATGGGAGGAAGCAGGGAGTGAAGGGAGGGGGAGAAAAGGAGCAAGGGGGAACTGGGATTGGAATGCAAAAAATAAATTAATATTTTTGGTTGTGAGCCTAGCTGAGCCATCTCTCCAGCCCTAAAAAAATAAATTAATAAAAAAATAAAAAAGAACACTTTCTGCTCTTGTAAAGGACTGGAGTCCAATTCCCAGAAACCCATGGTATTTCATATCTCTTTGTAACTCCAATTCTAGGGGATCCAATACTCTTTTCTGTCTCTTCAGAAACACACACACACACACACACACACACACACACACACACACACACACACACACAAAACATGAATATAGATAAGGTAAAAAACAAATACTAAAAAAGTCAAAATGGGGCTGGCAAGATGGTTGTTAAGGCAAAAGAATTTACCACAAAGTCTGATGACCTGAGTTCCATCTCACACAGTAGACAGACAGACAGACAGAAGTAATTTTTAAAAGTCACAGTTATCAGGCCAAAGCCCTCATCTGAATCACTGTAAGTCACTATCTGACTGTACTCCTCTTTATGCTCCCAAATTGTTTGCGAGACCATGACTTCTACAAAGGGCATCTCCTAAAGCACTGTTTGTGATACACTGGCATGTGGCTGCCTGTGAAAGCTTGGAGAATCACCTTTAACTCCAGCTTCTGGTAATCCTGAGTGCAAGCTAATAACCAGCAAGTCAAAGCAAAGACACTGAACATTCTTCCAAGGGTCCTGATAGTGGAAGGACAGATCAGAGCTGAGAAGTTGGTGTGGAAAGGCAAAAGGAGAGTTGCTACAAGCCGGAAGATCACACAGTAATTATACAGCCATTGTATCATGAGATAACTCAGAAGAATTAAAAATTCTTCTGATGGATAAACCAATACAAAAGTTGTATTTGACGTTATAGTCCTGTGAATGAATTGGCTGTTTCTTGCTGTAAATTCTTCCTGTAGTTTATTCCTTTCTGTAACAAACTTGGAATTTACTTCACACTGTTTAGCACTATCTGATCATTTATTAGGAACAAATTCCCCCATGCATTTGGAGTTTACTGACTACACTCGCTAGCTATGTGTAAAACCTGTTCTCCATTAACAGATCCTAATTTACTGATTACATTTCTTAACTATGTGTTAGACCTCTTTCAGGTCCTTGTTCCTCTCTCCACTGCAATTACAGAGATCTGCCTTCCTGTAATTATCCTTGATAGGCATTTGGTCAGTGTTTAGGGCCCAGGCAAAAGTATCCCATCTAAGACATTCCCAGATATCCAAGGACATAGAATTACTACACGTCCAAAGTTGTTGATTCATAGCTGCCTAGATGGAGAGAAAAAAGTAAGCATGCCCTGATTTTACCTCACTGGCATATAGAGAAGCAATAACCAAAACTAACCCTGCACTAAAAGACTCTCAAACTTCTTGTTGTATTAACTCAAGATTTTAGCTCAGAGATTTACTGCTCCTGCCTATTTCCCCTGAGAAGATAAAGACAAAGGTAATCAACCCATTTGCTCATTCTCAGGGAAAAGTAAACTTTGCTGAAGACCTGTGCCCTCACTGAGGCTGGAGCACTGAAAGGCACCAGGCTTTGTTTCTTATGCAAATTAAACTTAGACACCCCCCCTTTGACCATCAACTCTAAGCAATTGATGCTAAAAGTTTCTCCTAGCAGTTTTAGTTTATTGCTCCATGTGTAAATCTCATCTGCCTTGCTGACCCTGAGAAACTTAAGACTCACATTGTATTGCAAAAAGAAGTACTGTTACAAATTTATATATACCTGTACCCACAAGAACTGGAAAGAGACAGAAACAGAAAAAGAGAACAGCAAGAGAGAGACAGAGAAAAGAAGAGTAAAGAACATACAGAGGAGCAATTGTGTGTGAGTTAATTCCTTTTCCCTCAGATTTTAGTTCCTTTGCTTATTTGTAGTTTTTTTTTTTTTTTTGAAACCTGAGCAAAAATTTTAGAAGCAGGCCTTCTAAAATTTTCAGTAGAGAGTAATTAAATCCAGACCCTGTCCCACTTTGAGATAAGATCTCAAAAGGTAGCCCAGGTTGGATCCTTTCACTTCTGCTGCCAGAGGCTGGGATTACAGCATGCACCATCATGCCCAATTAAAGTCAAAAGCCAGAAGCTTTCTTAGGTAGACATGAAATTTCTGGCTGCTACCACACAGTAGCCAGCATGTGTTCCCTGCTTCTCAGAGCGCAGAAATTGGCAAGAATTAGCCAGGAAATTAGTCTGGCAATTACTTCCCTTACCTGTGGAGAAGAGGACTGAATTTTACCTGGAACTGTGCTATCCTGGGAACCAGGCCATCAAAATACCGATTCATTGCTTTAGTGAATCCACTATAGGTTGTCCGCAGCTTCATTTTTGGGTCCCTCAGTAACCAGCTATGATTGAAGGTGAGATTCAGACTCGGATGGGAACCAGTGATAAGAAATGTTCCAGCAAAGGACATCTAAAATAAGGCCCACATTGGCAAGGCCACACAGAACATTGAGATGTGAGGATGTGGTCCAGCTTCAAGAAAGAGCAGTCTCTGCCAATTAGAAACATCCCTGCAACCCCAAGATGTGGGGGCAGGAGGCTTTGTAACTGTGATCCTAGGCAGTGTTCACCAAACTACAGTCTGAAAGCCAAGTCAGGCCTGCTGTCTATTTATTAAATGGTTTTATTGACACAATTTTACCCAATAGTTCACATACTTTCACTTCAGTTTTCAGGCTAATTACAGAGGCTGCATGTGGCTCAAAATAATTATTATCTGGATTTTGTTTGTATAAAAATTGTGCTATATAGCACCGACTAGCCTAAGATACGGAGGCTATGTAGCCCAGGATGGCCCCAAATTTGTACCAATCCTCCCACCTCAAGTGGGATTACTATCTGACCTTTTACAGGAAAAATGTATTAACTTAGAAAGAGAGTATTATAAGGCTCTCATTAGAAGAAGTGCTTGTGTTTGTGTGTTTGAGGGATAGAGAGCCTGGCCACACTGGAAAATACTCAGTTAGGAAAAGGAAAACAGCACTGACAGATGGTCCTGATGCAACATGCATAAACTTTGAAAGTATTAAGTAAGAGAAAACAGCCAGACTCAAAACCATACCTGTAGGTACCTGCCATCAGTAAACAAAATGGTATAGATTTTCTAAGTGTGTAGAGGAATAAAGCCCCATGAATGTGCTTCCCACCCAGGGACTTTCAGACCACAACTTACCTGGGCAAGCCTCCGAGGTCTAAGTCGCTGCCAATGTAGGGACCTGGACACAGAATGACCCAGAGTCCCTCCTCTGAAGCCATAGTGATAAAAGCTCTGGAAAGAAAGCAGTCACAGTAACATTATCTCCAAAGCAAGGGCTTGGCATGTCAGTTCTCCCTTCCCTCCTCCCTCCCTCCCTCCCTCTTTCCTCTCTTCCTCTCTCCCTTCCCTTCCTTCCTCCCTTCCTTCTTTCCTCCCTTCCTCCCTCCCTAACTTCTTTCCTCCCTCCCTTCCTTCCTCCCTTCCTTCCTCCCTTTCTTCCTTCCTCCCTTCCTTCCTCTTTCCTTCCTTCCTCCCTCTCTCCCTTCCTCCATTTCTTCCTCCCTTTCTTCCTTCCTCCCTTCCTTCCTCCCTTCCTCCCTTCCTTCCTTCCTCCCTCTCTCCCTTCCTCCCTTCCTCCCTCCCTTTCTTCCTTCCTTCCTTCCTTCCTTCCTTCCTTCCTCCCTCTCTCCCTTCCTTCCTTCCTTCCTTCCTTCCTTCCTTCCTCCCTCTCTCCCTTCCTTCCTTCCTTCCTTCCTTTCTCTTTCTTTCTCCTGTTCTTTCTTCCTCTTATGGGCTCAGTACCCAAAGGGGCAGTGACTGAGGAGATAGTGTTGAAAATTTAAGACAGAAATACCCTAAATTCCTCCTATTATTATTTGTTGGAAGAGACACATATGCCAGTCAGGAAGATGCTACTTAGATGAAAACAAACCTTTACTTTTACAAGGGTGTGAGGCTTCCATGGGGCCGCACCTAACACCACCTTGAGCGATATGCACTGTCCTTTCACCTCTCCGACTTTACCTCTGCTGCACACAGCCCCATCCCATTCACTCCTGTGCAACATCATAACTTGACTCAGCTTTGACTTTACCGCTGTCTCTCCTGACTTGCCCTTAGTTGGGTCTGTCAAAGACTCAAATGTTGCATTTGCCTTCCTCTCTACAGCTTCCCTAAGAGAATGGTGATACCCCAGAAATCAGTATTTTTTTAATAAAAAAAAATTACTCTACTTCTATCAGGGTGTAGAAACCATAAACTACAAATCAGAAATCTGTTCTTATAACTGAGAGAGCAGGTTCTTCATGATGGGCTGACACTGTAGAATGCTGGCTAAAACAATGTCTAGATCATACTATAACAGCAGGCTATGGTGTGTAAGCCATAGACCAGTGGATCAAAGAGGCTTCAAGCCAGATAAAAAGTTAGTAGAGCTTTTTTACTGGCTATTAAAGCAGAATTACAGGCTGGAGGTTGATGGCACACACCTTTAATTCCAGCAGTAAGGAAGCAGAGGCAAGCAGGCCTCTGTGAGTGTGCAGCCTGCCTGGTCTACATAGAGAATTCCAGACCAGCTGGAGTTATATGGTGAGATCCTGCCTCAAAACAAAACAAACAAACAAACAAAATCAGAGCTACATACCCATTCCTTCATCCAATCCCCCAGGCACATATCTATCTAAATCTCAGAATCAAGAAATTAAAGCAAAACACATACATGAGGTCCAAGTTATCAGTGAAGTAAAATTGGCCCACTGCAGGCTCATGGAGGTTCCAAGGAACGTGCCTGTTGTGTGGAAAAAGAGAAACATAAGCTCCCCCATCATGTGCTACTCCTATACTGACTCCTCCGTTTTTAATATAGAAGCAAGCTTCTCTTTATTTGGAGAAGGCTGAATGCTTCAACAGGGAAGCCTCCAGTGCACTGGGAAGCCTGAAGCAGGGGCATCATAAGTTTAAGGCCACTTGTCTATGCAGCAAATCCTGTGTTGAAAAACAAACTAAAAAACAAACAAAAGGGGAGAAGAGGAGGGGTGAGGAGGACATAAGGGAGCAGGAAGAGTGTGTAGGGGAAGAATAGAGGAGAGCAAAATAAGAGATACCATCAAAGAGGGAGCCAGTATAGGTTTAAAGCGAAATCAGGCACTAGGGAAATGTCCAGAGATCTACAAGGATTATACCAACTAACCATCTAAGCAACAGTGGAGAGGCTACATTAAATGCCCTGCCCTGATAATGAGATTGATGACTGACTTATATGCCATCCTATAGCCTTCATCCAGCAGCTGATGGAACTAAGCACTAAATTGAACTGGAATCCAGTTGCAGAGAAGGAGGAGTGGTGAGCGAAGGGGTCCTGACCAGGCTGGTGGAACCCACAGAAACAGCTGACCTGAACAAGAGAAAGCTCTTGGCCCCCATACTGATCATTGGGAAACCATCATGGAACTGATCCAGATCCCCAAAATGTGGGTGTCAGTGAAGAGGCCTCGGAAATCTATGGGGCCTCTTGTAGTAGATAAGTACTTATCTCTTGTGTAGGAATGGACTTTGGGATCCCATTTCACATAGAGGGATACTTCCTCAGCCTAGACACACGGGGGGGGGGGCTATCCCAAAGGATATGACAAACTCTAAAAAGACCCCCCCATGGAAGGCCTCGCTTTCCCTGGGGGGCAGAAATGGTATTGGATAGGTAGGGTGCTAGTGGGGAGCAGGAGAGGAGGAGAGAGAGAGGGAATGGGTATTGACATGTAAAACAATCTTGTTTCTAATTTAAATAAAAAAATTTAAGAAATTGAAACAAAACAAAACAAAAACTGTTGGGTGTGGTGGTACATGCCTGTAATGTCATCACTTTAGGGACTGAAGGGGGAAGACTCACAAGTTTGAGGCCAGCCTAGGCTACATAGTGAGAATCTGTCAAAAAAAGGAAGAAAGAAAGAAAAGAAAAGAAAAGAAAGAAAGAAAGAAAGAAAGAAAGAAAGAAAGAAAGAAAGATCAGGCCTGGTGACATATTGTCCTTAATTCCAGATAAGGGTGATGAGGCAGGGGAATGCAAAGCTCAAAGACTAATTCTGGTAAAGAGGTCAAGAATAGTTTCAGCAATTTAGCAAGACCCTGTCTCAAAATAAAAAGAAGGCTTTGTACCTAACTCAGTGGAGTGTGTGTGTGTGTGTGTGTGTGTGTGTGAGAGAGAGAGAGAGAGAGAGAGAGAGAGAGAGAGAGAGAGAGAGAGAGAAATGAAAGATGTTCTGGGTACAATAAAGAAAAAGAAATGAAATATGCAAGTTGGAGCAAACAGAGGGGTATACACGTAGAATAAAAGGCCAGCAGTTTTTAAAATGTAATGAAAGATCTGGGCATGGTGGCACACTCCTTTAATCCCAGCATTTGGGGGGCAGAGGCAGGCAGATCTCTGAGTTCAAGGCCAACCTGGTCTAAAGAACAAGCTTCAGGACAGCCAGGGCTCTACAGAGAAACCCTGTCTCAAATCAAAAGACAAAAAAGAAAGGAAGAAGGAAAGAAAGAAAGAAAAAGATATAATGAAAGAAACTTTCAAAAACAACAATAGAATAAAAAAGAAGAAAAAATACTTGGAAAAAAACTGACAAAATTTTCCAAATTTGTTATAAATAAATTATATACAGAATCTACCTCAAGAGTCTCAACACAGGAGCTGGAGAGGTGACTCGGGGGTTAAGCACTTGTTCCTCTTGTAAAGGACCCAGGTTTGATTCCTAATAGCCCCAACCATCCACAACCTCAGTTCCCAGGGGTCCTCTTCTGATCTCTGCAGGCCTGTTTACTGCAGATTTCCAGTTCTGGTATATAACTTTTCATACTGTTCTGTGAGTTACTTTAGCATCTTTTTGTCATATTCATTCTATTTCTTTTTATCTACAACATTTCATACATGTGCATTTCATATATATACATTATGTAGATATGTAGAATATATATTTATATGTAATATACTCACTGTAGAGAGCTGAGGAACATTTCCTTCTGCCTACTCCTTAGGAGGGAGACAGTGACCATTTGACATGTGATAAGAGCATTCTGTTCTCAGCAAAAGCTCCAAGGAGACTGGCTCACTGAATCCTAGCCAGCCTAAAACATATCCACCCTCCAGCCTATTCTCTGCTTGCACATGGAGGACAAAGTCATTCAAATCTGTTTCATGGTAGCAAATCGGGACACAAGACATCCTAAACATAATGTTATTTGTTATTTTGTTTATTTTGATGGTGGTTTATTGATTGTTGGTTGGTTGGTTGGTTGGTTTTGTTTTTGTTGTTTGTATTGTTGACAAATCTTACGTAGCCTAGGCTAGGTTCAATTTTCTATGTAACTGGGGCTGGCCTAAAACAATCCTCCTGCCTCTACCTCATAAATATAGAGATTATAGGCCTATTCCACAATCTTGATATGATGACTAATCTTGGTTGTTGTCTCAACTGGGTTTTCTATTGCTGTGAAGAGACACGATGACCACAGCAACTTTTATAAAGGAAAACATTTAACTAGGGCTGGCTTACACTTAAGAGGTTTAGTTCGTTGTCATCATTTCAGGAAGCATACAGGCAGGCAGATATCGTGCTGGAGAAGTATCTGAGAGTTCTACATCTTGTACAGGCAACAGGAAGTGGTCTCAGACCCTGCGTGTAGCTTAAGCATATATGAGACCCCAAAGCCCGCCTCCACAGTGATACCCTTGATCCAACAAGACCATACTTCCTAATAGTGCCACTCACTTTGAGGACCATTTTCTTTCAAACCACCACAGTTGATTACATCTGGAATTAACTAAAACTCAAGCAGCTGGGCATGTTTGTGAGGGATTTCTAAATTGGATCATTTGAGGTGGGAAGACCTGACTCAAATGTGGTCACCTGAGGACAAAAGACCTACCTCAAATCTGAACCGACTGAGGGCAGAAAACCCAGTCTAAAATCAGGACAGCCCACAAAAAAAAAAAAATGACACAGGAGAAGGATGCTCTTGATTTTTGCCTGTTTGCATTCACTCTCATTGGCAGGTTTATCTTTGCCCATATTAGAACCTGCTTCTATGGGATTCCAATGCAGACTGAAGACAGCAGCTCTCTAGGATTTCTGTGGTACTCCAGCACCAGATTGAAGCTACTGAGACACCTGGTTTCATGAACTGAACAATTACCAGATTCTTAGCCGTTCCATCAGGAGACAAACTACTCAGACTACAGTAAATCACTGTAATAAATACCATATACATATTTCTGTCTCTTTTGAAAACCCTGACAAATAACTTGGCTAACAAGCATCTTTCTTTCTTTTTTTTTTTTTTTTTTTTTTGGTTTTTTAAGACAGGGTTTCTCTGTGTAGCTTTGGAGCCTATCCTGGCACTCGCTCTGGAGACCAGACTGGCCTCGAACTCACAGAGATCTGCCTGCCTCTGCCTCCCGAGTGCTGGGATTGAAGGCATGCACCACCAACGCCTGGCACAAGTATCTTTCTTAATAAGAATTTCAAAATGAAGTCTCAGCTAAGATTCAGTTGAAAAACATTCTTAAACAAGAACCAGAAGCAGCAACTCACGTGGTAAGGGTGTTGAAGCCACAGGCCCGCATCTTCCGTAAGCTGATTCTCCACTGTTGCTTAGGTATCCGGAAGTAGTCTATAATGCCAGATAAGATCCGAAATGGGGAACCTTCCAGTGTGAATTGTGACCCCTCAACTTTCAGACCTTCCCCTCGAGTCAGCAGCAACAAAGGAGTCAAGTGAGTTTGATTAAGCCTGCAAGGATAAGAAGGTATATGATTTCTAGAGCACAGGTTGGTGAGCCAAAAGGCCCAGGAAAACTGACAAGTTCAACGTCAGTCTGGGATATAAAGCCCACCTTGTTTCTAAAGAAACAGGAGCTACGGGCATAGCTCAATGTGTAAAGTACTTACAGACCCCCAGAATCTAGGTAAAGACCAGACATGTCAAATGTAATAGTGCATGTATCTAATCCCAACACCCCTATGGGGAAATGGGAGGAGAATCCATGGAGGCAGTAGTGAACAAGAGAGCCCCTGTCTCAAACAAGGTGGGAATCAAAGACTGACGTCTGAAGTTGTCCTCTGACCACACATGCACCATGGCATATGCTCACAGACAAGCACATATCCACCACATACATGTGGGCACGTGCGTGCGCGCGCACGCGCGCACACACACACACACACACACACACACACACACACACACACGGTTTTTATTTTAAGCTTTTCCCTTGGGGGCCCTAGGTATACCTTAAATGGAAACTCTACAGTGATCTGAAGCATACCTACCTGGGAAACTGGTTATGGTTGGGCAGAGCCATCACGGATAAGGCAGAAGACAGGTACAGAACGCATTCAGGTCTTCCCAGAAAGGTCCACATGCTAAATAGGACAGAACAGAGGAGTCAGAAATAGGGGTAGAGGAAAGAAGCAGCTAGGGACTGAAAGGAGCTTTCCTTGAAGAAGGGCGGGGGTAGCCTGTTGGGAAAGCAAAATTCGTTCCTGGGCTTTGTGTTAGTTGGAATCAGGACAGCATCTTAAAGCTGAGGCTGCTGGCTGGAGTAACTTCACAGCAATTTCTGGCTACATAGCTGGTTCTCAGGCACCATATACATTTTGGTGTGGCTCAAAATCCTGACACATAGCTTAAATACAGTGGAGCACAACTCCCCAGATGCTTTCACAGCTGCCCAGCTGCTGAGGAATGGATCCCAATGGTGTCCTGCGAGGCAGAGGAGGAATTTCTTCACAGAGGAAATAAATTCCTTGTCTCCAATTCAATTTTTCATTTGTTTGTTACTGTTGAAAATCAACCCATGGGTTGCCAGAATACATCTTACTGGTTTTTAGATCCTGTTGATATCTTTATGGCGCTCATTCTGGGGTAAATGCATCAAAAAACTTTTTGGTCCAGGGTGGCCTGAACTCATTCAGCAGAGTCCCCAGGATGTGGGCGACACCTGCACCCACAGCAGAGCCTGACTCAGTGAAGTTTTCTTATTAAAACAGTTATGTTCCACTTTGTTTTAAAGTTTAAACATAATTTAACATGAACTTATTATATGCCTATTATTAAATCAATGCAGAATGTTTCAGATCCAACCTCCTTTTACACACACACACACACACACACACACACACACACACCTTCTCAGCCTATAGTAATCACTCTTCCACATTCAAATCAACACCACCACCACTACCATAAGTATTTTTGTGCAAATGCTAAGTTGCTACCATTAGCAAAACATCTACATCTAGGCAGAGTTGAGAATGAGTAAACATTTGGGAAGTCACAGGAAACTTTTAAAAATATCAAAAATTAAACAAAACAAAGACTGAGGAAGTGTTGCCAGGACACAGGGCAGGTTTGGTTGGTAGGAAAAAATAAAAGACACTCTGGCAAACGTTCCAGGGAGAAGAGCATGCATAAAGCAAAACTTCGAGGGAACCTGAAGGAGAGATCCAAGCAGAGTCCTCAGCCAATCGCACTGAAAACCCCCAAGAGAGGTGTGCAGCTAGCCTTTGGAGGCTGGGGGTTGCAAGAGTGCAGAGAGGCCTGGACTCCGCTGAGCCTGGCCAGTTCAAGGCCGACCCAGGCTTTGATCCTGAACTACTCCAGAGGCCACTGGCATTACCGCATTGTCTCATCCAGGTCAGGCCATGCATTGCCATGGTGGCTCTACCCACACTGGTGGCCACAAGCCTGTACTGGGCCTCCTATCCAGCACACCTCATGTGCTTGAACACACACACACCCTCCCTTGAAGACCAGTAGTGCATCAAGGACCTCTAGGAGGAGATGCCGGTGCCTTACTGGACTAATCTCTTCTCGAAGTTAGTCACTGTCAGCCAGCAGCAACAGCAGCACCATGAACCTCTCCTGACCACTGCTGTCTGCAGTTTCTGGTCCCCATGCAGGGCAGGCTGAGCCCAGGTGCCAAACACCTGTGGTCTGTAGTCGCCGCCCTTCTCTAAGCCTGTGGGTGTAAGACCTCGTGGGTGGAGGAGGGACGCTCTGTTTCAAAATCTGCCACAGCACAATTTATACCTTGTCTAGGTTCCAGAGAAAGAGAAACGCCTCTTTATTGCAGACTTAACTGGAAAAGAGCCTGGTAGCCTGTGGGCTCAATCCATCAGCAGGCTAACTTCCCACAGAGGCAGGCAGGGTTTCCATTACTGGCCTCTCCTGGGTCAGAGTGTATTTTCCTCGTTGCATTTTTGTTTGTTTGTTTGTTTGTTTATTTTTTGTTTGTCGAGACAGGGTTTCTCTGTGGCTTTGGAGGCTGTCCTGGAACTAGCTCTTGTAGACCAGGCTGGTCTCTACCTCACAGAGATCCTCTGCCTCTGCCTCTGCCTCTGCCTCTGCCTCTGCTTACCGAGTGCTGGAATTAAAGGCGTGTGCCAGCAACGCCTGGCTCCTCGTTGCATTCTAACTGTGGCTCTTATTACGCTTTCCTTTGGTTTGCCACTAAACAGTTGAAAGTCTGACATTCGATGAAGCACTGAGATTAATTATTTTTCCCCCAAATTGATTTCCTTTACTGAAGTCTTGCACTTTTTTTTTTAATCTCTTTTCTAGTCTTGCTTTCAGACTACTCCCTCTACTCTCGTGCTTTTCCTGGAGTGCATCAGAATAAAGTCTCCTTGGGAAAATCCACTCAACTAATGGAGTCTTATCTTTTCTGTCATTTTCTTAATTTACAGCTTTGATTCTCCCCCTACCCCAGGCAGGGTTTCTCTGTGTTGCCCAGGCTATCCTGGAACTCTCTATGTAGACTAGGCTAGCCTCAAACTCACAGAGACCCGCCTACCTCTTCTTCCTGAGTACTGGGATAAAAGGCATGTGTCAGCACCGCCCACCTACAACTATGATTTTAATTCATTACTTTCCCATAAATTCTTTCCTACTTGCCGTAACTTTTATGCTCTGTACTTCCACTTTTACGGGTAATCTCACCTTTTTAAATCTAACTAAGGTTAGCAACCAATGACTCCATGCTCTCCTGTCACAGTCTGGAAATACATGAACAAGAGTGAAAAGTACAGAGACAATGAGCCTGTCTCAGGCTCTTTTAGCAGGTTGTCCCGCTCTGTTGCCCGGTGTTATCCTTGGTGATATCTCCACCCATGACAATAACCCTTTTAAGTCAGGCACCTTCTTACACTGACTCCTTTTTCAACAGAACTTCCACCTCACTAGCATCAGACAGCCCATGACCAAGATGCTTAATCCTAACGCTTCCCAGACACAGTAGTTTTTCTCAACTCTTCCAAACAAGTTTTCATCACTCTTTGGATTTCCAGTTTTCTCTCATTTCCTTCTTTTGCAACACTCATTTTATAATTAAATAATCCACGTGACTTTTTGTTGTTGTTGTTATTGTCGTATTGTTGTCATTGCCTGAGTAGCCTCCAAGTTCTGGGATCAAAGACATGTGCCGGTGTGCACCGCTTCACATTGCTCTTACATTTGAATATTTGCAGACGCTGACACATGCAATAAGTCACATGATTATTTATACAGCAAACTGATTGACAGACACTACTTTCTGCTTCAGAATATTATTGAGCCAGGTATTAGGCATGCCTATAACATAACACTTGAGAGACTGAAGCAGAGCTACACAGTGAGCTCAAGGCCAGCCTGAGCTACACAGTGAGCTCAAGGCCAGCCTGAGCTCCACAGTGAGATCCAGTATCAAGAATACCCAAATAAATAAATAACAAAAATACTGCTGAAACTGGAATAATTATTTAAAGCTGAAATGTAAGCTGTATCGAAGTAATTAGCATATTTATTATTTGGCATTTGTATTTTCTATTTAGTGTTTTTTTTATTTTATAGCATTGAAAAGAGCTCCATTTTATTATGGAAAGGTACAAAATGAAACAAACCAGGCAATTGATGAAGGAGCAATAGGGGAGAGGTGAGGCCTCCTTTAGTCCCCACACACTGCAATTCAATTCAATGTGAACCACATGGAGGAGCAGAATTAAATAATTCTCATGGGGTTCAGAGTGAGGATCCCCAGTCTTCCCTCCTGGGAGGAACTGAGGCACAGTAATACTGAGCAAAGTTGAAGAAAGCCACATAACCTCCCCAGGTCACTCTTAATAGGACAAACAGAGGGTGGTGGATTCCTCAGGGAGTCCGTGAATAGGTATAGCTTGTAAACCTGGGACTTTGAGAGGTGGAACTGGGAGCTGGTGGGTATGTAAACCAGGCTGTGATCAAGCGAGGAGAAGCTGCAAACAAAGGGTCAGTGACCTCGGAAAAGGGTGCTTGTAGATGGAGTGGGTTCCATGCCTACCAAGGGAGATGAGCCCTTAAATCCTGAGTGTCCCCAGGAGTGGCGGGAAGTCAAAGAAGGCTGTGGGGACATTGTACCCTGTCATGGAGCTGGAGGAGCTCCATCTAACTCAATTCCAGGTGAATCCTGTGTTCTACTCAAGGACTTGATGCTCATTCTTAGCTCAACAAGGATGCTCCAGCTCACGTGACTACACCCACAGGGGACCTTGGGTTAGGGGTAAATTTAGGCTACTGGCTCTGCCCCAGAAACAGGATGGGAAAAGCAAGTCGGAATATGCTCATTGCCCTTCCGTGCCAGGCTCATTGCCAGGGTCTGTTGGCTCTGAATCTTCCAGAGGATCCTTTTTTTTTATTTTATTTTATTATGTGTACAGTGTTCTGCCTGAATGTATGCCTGCATGCCAAAAGAGGGCACCGAATCTCATTACAGATGGTTGTGTGTTATAACGCCAGCACTACAACTTCTCACCGGTTCAGGTGAGGGAATCTGAGGATTGAATAAAGACAAGTCAGCTGGTCATTCTCGCAAGAAGAATGCCATTTGCTGTGCTGCACCCCCCCGCCCCCCGCCGCTGCAATAGTCATGTGGGCATATAGTTTGCATTCTTTTTTGTTGAAGGAGAATTATATAATTTTATTATAGGTAAGTATTAATTAATATTAAAATAGAATTCTCTACAATTCTCAATGTATGGATTCATGAAATTCATCTTAACTAGGCTAGAAATATTGATTGATTAATGAAATAAAAGTAAACCTGTTGCTTCTTAAAACGTATTTTTCTTTACATATGACTTTTGGTTCCATTGGATGATTCCGGGTTAGTAATTTCCCATTATGTACAGTGGAAAAACTAAATAAAACCAAACCACACAAGCAAGCAATCTAAAACATTTTAGTAGAAAATATGTTTTGATCTCTTTGACTAACAACGTAGTTATACACAGTGATAAAGTCAATGAATATCCCTCTCTAATTGTAGCTAACAATACATTGGCAAAGACTGGTTATTCGAAAAGGAGTTCTTAGTTGGAACTTCCAGCAACAGGTTATACTAATAAATCTTATCAAAAATATTCTTTCATTTATTTTTTTCATTTTTGTTGTCTTAGTGCATTAATCAAGTAATAGCAGATGTACTGTTACAAATGAGACTTTTATTTTAAAGGTTTTTGTCATCTTGTACATAGAGTTGTACAAAGAAAACTCTTACTTTAAGCTGGGCGTTGGTGGCACACGCCTTTAATCCCAGCACTTGGGAGGCAGAGGCGGGCAGATCTCTGTGAGTTCCAGGCCAGCCCGGGCTCCCGAGCGAGGGGCAGAATAGGCTCCAAAGCTACACAGAGAAACCCTGTCTCGAAAAACCAAAAAGAAAGAAAGAAAGAAAGGAAGAAAGAAAGGAAGAAAGAAAGGAAGAAAACCCTTACCTTTGAAAATGATGAGTTTACATTCATTTATGAAGGTAAGTAACATATGGAGACTACTATTATTATATATAATTGTTTCCTTACATTCTTCCTAATGTAAAAGAAATGTTATAAAATGTGCAAATTTACACTAAAGTTTAAATATTAACATATTTATTTTTAATTTAAATTGATTGAATACAGAACACACTATGAATACTTTTGTATTGTTACTATACTAATAATGAGACAAAGTTAAATTTCATTCATAAAGTTTAATTCTAGTGATTAAGGTGAACTCTTTTTTTTATTCTTTAATTACTACTCCTATTTACATATCCATCTCCCTATTCCCTCACCCTCCCATCCTCCCATGCTCCCCACCAACACCCCTAACCCATCCTCCAACTTTTCCCCAGGGATAGTGAGGCCCTCCACCAGGGAACTTCAAAGTCTGTCATATCATTTGGGGGAGGGCCTCGGCCCTCCTTGCGTTATCTGGGCTGCAATAGTATCCCTCCATAGGGAATGGGCTCCCAAAGTCCATTTGTGCTCTAGGGTTAAAGACTGGCTTCACTGTTAGAGGTCCCATAGACTGTCTTGGCCTCCTAGCTGGCACCCACATTCAGAAGGCTTGTTTCAGTCCAATGCTGGTTCCCCAGCTTTATGACTAGGGTCTCCATGCTCTCACTAGGTCAGGTCAACTGTTTCTGCAGGTTTCTGCAGCACCGTCTTGGCTCCTTTCCTCATCACTCCTTCCTCTCCACAACTGGATTCCAGGAGTATGGTTCAGTGCTTAGTTGTGGGTGCCTGTTTCTGCTTTGAACAGCTACTGGATGAAGGCTCTAGGAATGGTAACCAAGGTTGGTATCAATCTCATTATAGGGGAAGTGCATCAATGGCATTTTCTCCACCATTGCCTGGAATCTTAGTTGGGTCATCCCTGTGGATCCCCTAATATTTCCCCTGTGCCAGACCTCTCTCCATACCTGTACTGTCTCCCTTTATCAAGGCATCTCCTTTCTTGCCCTCCTCCATTCCTCCCTTGTCTCAGTCCTCTTGTTTTCCTCCCCCCTCCCCTACTTCCCTTCCCGCCTCTTTCCTCTCCACACCCCCGTGCTTCCATTTTTTTCAGGGGTTCTTGCCCCCTCCTGTTTTTCAAGGGACTATGAAAACCCCTCTTGGAGTACTCCTTGTTTCCTAGCTTCTCTGGCAGTATGGATTATAGACTGGTAATCTTTTGCTCTATGTCTAAAAATCATATATGAGTGAGTACATACCATGTTTATCTTTTTGTGACTGGGTTACCTCACTCAGGATGGTTTCCTCTAGTTCCATCCATTTGCCTGCGAATTTCAAGATTCCATTACTTTTTTCTGCTAAACAGTACTCCATTGTGTAAATGTGCCACATTTTCTGTATCCATTCTTCAGTTGAGGGACATCTAAGTTGCTTCCAGGTTCTGGCTATTACAAATAATGCTGCTACGAACATGGTTGAACACATGTCCTTATTGTATGAGTGCACATTCTTTGGGCATATGCCCAAAAGAGGAATTGCTGGATCTTTAGGTAGACTGATTCCCATTTTTCTGAGGAACTGCCATACTGATTTCCAAAGTGGTTGTACAAGTTTGCACTCCCACCAGGAATGGAGGAGTGTTCCTCTTCCTCCGCATCCTCTCCAGCATAGATTGTCATTGGTGTTATTGATTTTAGCCATTCTGACAGGAGTAAGATGGTATCTCAGGGTGGTTTTGAGCTTCATTTCCCTGAAGGCTAAGAATGTTGAGCACTTTCTCAAGTGTCTTTCAGCCATTTTAGATTCCTCTGTTAAGAGTTCTCTATTTAGTTCTGTGCTCCACTTTTTAATTGCATTGTTTGGTGTTTTCTTGGCTAGCTTCTTGATTTCATTGTATATTTTGGTGATCAGCCCTCTGTCAGATGCGGGGGTTAGTGAATATCTTTTCCCATTCTGTGGGCTGGTGTTTTGTCTTGCTGTCTGTGTCCTTTGCCTTACAGAAGCTTCTCAGTTTCAGGAGGTCCCATTTATTGTCGATCTCAATGTTGGTGCTACTGGTGTTATGTTCAGAAACCAGTCTCCTGTGCCAATTTGTTCAAGGGTACCACCTACCTTCTCTTCTAGGAGTTTCAGTGTGGCTGAATTTATGTTGAGGTCTTTGATACATTTGGAGTTAAGTTTTGTGCATGACATTAGATACGGATCTATCTGCAATCTTCTACATGTCTAAATCCAGTTACGCCAGCACCATTTGTTGAAGAAGCTTTCTTTTTTCCATCGTATAACTTTAGCTTCTTTGTCAAAAATCAGGTGTTTGTATGTATGTGGATTAATATCAGGGTTTTCAATTTGATTCCATTGGTCTTCTATTTTTGTGCCAATACCAAGCTGTTTTCAGGACTATGGCTCTATAATAGTACTTGAAGTCAGGGATGGTGATGCCTCCAGAAGTTCCTTTATTGTACAGAGTTGTCTTGGCTATCCTGGGTTTAATGTTTCTCTGACTTCTTTCTCAGCACGTTTATCATCTGTATATAGTAGGGCTAATGATTTTTTTTTTTTAATCTTGTATCCTGCCACTTTGGTGAAGGTGTTTATCAGCTGTAGGAGTTCCCTGGTAGAGTTTTTTGGGTCACTTATGTAGACTATCATATCATCTGCAAATAGTGAAAATTTGACATCTTCCTTTCCAATTTGTATCCCCTTGATCTCCTTTTGTTGTCTTACTGCTCTAGCTAGAACTTCAAGTACAATATTGAAGAGATATGGAAAGAGTGGGCATACAGGCCTAGTCAGAGGAGAGAACAAGTACGTAACTGCCTAGTCATGAGATAGTCAGTGGACCTCAAGGGCACAGTGGGCCACCCTTAGTCACGAGATGATCAGCAGACCCCAAAAAGTTCCCAACAGTTGTGAGCCACCATGTGGTTGCTGGGAATTTAATTCAGGATCTTTGGAAGAGCAGGCAGTGGTCTTAACTGCTGAGCCATCTCTACAGCCCTATTTAGTGTTTCTTTTTTTTTAATTATCTTCAGTATCCCTTGACTTTCTCCCTTGACTTTCCCTCTTGTCTCTAGTCAGTCATTGTAACTTCTGTATTATATATCCATTGACTTTCTGCTGCTGCTGCTGCTTATATGTCTATCTTTAGTATTTACATAGTAATATTTATTGTGGATCCTATTTATTATGTCAGAAATTCTCTAGATACCTAGTCTCCTGAGGCCTGTATTTGTTCATTTTCTTCTAATATTTCTAGAGCTTTTCATTTGAATATTTGCTATATAAAGAGTGCATTTCAAAACAAGTTATCAAAGTAGGTGAATTTTACTTTTTATCTACAAATAACTAGCAGATTACTCTAAAACTTAACTCTTTCCTAATTTTGAAAAGAATTATTTATCATATCATATACTAATATACTAAGTTACCAACTACTTGTTTCTGGATTGTTTTATTGCATTGCTCTTTGTATGCTGGGTCAACTACATAATGAAAGCCTAGCACTTGCCAGACACAGTTTCAATGTCATATGCTCATTCATGTGTCATCAAAATAACACTGATACTTGGTACTCATAGTAAAGTTTATGACAAGCCTACTCTTGTAAGCTCTGTTCTGGACATTGGTAATGCCAACAGTGTGGGGTTAAGCTGACAAAAATCTGTGCCTGTGGGGATTACATCCTAGTGCAGTAAAAACGTAACAGAGGAACAACACTAAAATTTATACAGTGTTACTAATTAATGGGTACTTTAGGGGAGTGTATAACAGGAAGAGTGGGGAGAATAGAGAAGGCAAGGATGGTGTCAAAATAAGGCAGCATTTTAGGCATGGGAGGTTGTCAAGAAGGATCTCTCACAAGAGGATGACATGTAAGCAACTGCCTTAAGAAGTAATAAGTGAGTCATTTCAATTCGTGATGGAAAACTATCTCAGACAAGAGTGTAAGAACAAAAGCCCTGAGGTAGAAACACTTTGATGAGTAGGAGAAAGCCATTGAGGCATGAAGAAATGTAGGAAACTGGAGGATGATAGATCTGAGCGATTAATACATAGGCTAAACCATGTGGGACCTGGGAGATCAAAGGAAGGGATTTAATTTTTGCTCTAGGCTGGGAAGGCATTGGGGTGTTTTGATCCAAGGAATGACATGATCTGAGCTGCATATTAACATAATCTAAAATGCCAGGGGTAAAGGAAGAAGAAAACAGATTTTTCTGGCAGTGAGGTGAGAATTCATGATGGGTTGGACCAGTGTCCCAAAGAGGTAAAGCCACAATGGATTTACTAATTACTTGGATGTGATTGTGAAGTTAAAGTATGATTCCAAGGTATTTTTTCTTGCAAAAAAAATGTGAAAATTGAATTGCTATTGATTAAATAGGAATGGCTACAGGAACTTAGTGGTTTGTTTGGTTTAGTTTTTGCAAATAACTGTTATGATAAATCTTTCCGCCAAAAGCCACGGGAGCCCTACCGCCATGTGGGCACTTTCCAGCTGCCCGAGTTCTGCCTGTGGAGTTAGGGCCCCAAATAATACACAGAGACTTGTATTAGGTACAAATGCTGCTTGGCCATTGACTAGGATTCCTCATCTGTTAGCTCAGTCTTAATTATCATAAATCTATATATTTTATAAGACTTATCTTATAGCGTATGCCTTCCACTGGCACCCTCTCTTGCCGGTGTATCACATGGAGACTCTGGAGGAAGAGAGAAGGGGGTCCACTTCCTCCTTGTCCTTGTTTATGAGTCTCCCTATTATGTCATTTCCTGTGTGGATCACTACTTCTTTACTACATTTCCCAGAATCCTCCTTGACTCCTAGTCCCGCCTAACTTGCTGCCTCATTGGCCAAACAGTACTTTATTTATCATCCAATA